GTTTGTGAATATGTTAAAAAAAATTATGGATATGGCTTGTGGCTGCAGGATTTCCAGCTGACCTCTGTCCTGTGTGCCCAGCGGCCCTGTGGGAGGAATCATCCAGAAGAGATGACCGTGAAGCTTGTCAGGTATCAATCCTGGGTGTTTCTCTAGAGGGTACACTGCAAGGCCAAAGGTCTGGAGGCCACACGAGGGGAGGCAGAGGCTGTTTCCCATGATTTGCTCTCCCACTGAGGCCACCAGGACCATGTGGCCCTGTAGGACTTCTCAGCGTGAAGCACAGTAGGTACCTACAGAATCCCCTATGCTTCTGAGAGCTCTGGGGAGGCCACTGCCCCTCGTCCTAGTTTGGATTGCAAGTAGCTTGTTGAAACAAGGGCTGTCTTTCGGAGGCAGGTATTTACCTGGTCTCTGCTGGTCTCTGACGTGGTGGGAGCACGTGGTCTGAAATGATGTACGGATAGTGTCACATAGTCCCAGGCGTCCCATCCTAACGAATTCTCAGCATTTCTCCAGAAGTCGGTCTTCCCTCCGATTCTCTTAGCAGGGAAGCATTAAAGCAGTGCCTCTCAAACTGTGGTCCCTGAACTAAGTACCTACAGCGTTACCTGGGGGGCTTGTGAGAAATGCAGGACTTAGGCCCTATGCCAGACCTACTGAATGGGCAGTTGGGGCCCGCAGTCTGGTTCACCAGGCTCTCTCTTGCTAAAGTTTGTAAAGCACCATGTTAGAGAACCACCCACTGCAATTAGAGGCTGGAAATCTGGCCACCAGTGCATCTCCTGGTCTCTTGTCCTGTCTTGGGCTCTTTCCTGACTGCCAGCAGTGGCCTCCCTTCTTGGCACAGCCTCTGCCCTGTTCTGCCCTGCATTCGAAAGTGACCCTGGGCTGCCTGTGCCCTTGTCATTGATAGTGCAGGGAGAGGACTTGCTGAAAGCGTTGCCCCGTGTGTGGAGGGTCCACCCTGTCCCTTCCGAACCCTGAAGCTTTCGTACATGGCCTCCCTTTAGTCTCCCTTCTGCCCAGCATGGGCATGGTACTCGCAGATTTAACAACGGAGGTGGTGAGGCAGGGCCCTGTCTCAGGGAGTTTGTGTTGATGGGCTGATTTTTTTAGAGCCATGAATAGGATCAGCCTCCTGGGGTGCCTTCCCATTGCGCCCCCTGGGTGTCAGCACTGATCACACCTGGGGTCCTTGGCTTGCTTACCACGACCCTGTGCTGTGAGCTTGCGGGCAGGGCCTCTGTCTTGTTCCATGGCCTTCCTGGTGCCCAACACAGCACTGGACACAAATGAGAAGACCTAGTACAGAGGTAAGGCTCGTTCCATTGTGTTTTTTAAAAGGCTGCCTGTATTTCCCTCCATTCCTCACCCCATGCCTGGCCGTCTACACCTCTGGGTGTAGGGTCACGTGGATTGAGTCAGGTCACTGGTGTAAGGTCCTCAAGCGATGACGGTATTTTCTCCTTGATCTTTCAAATGGGCCCAGCAGTCTTTAGACTGAGGCACCCAGCAGGGCTTGCCAGAGGTCTGTCTTCCATTTCCTTCCTTGGCCAGATCAGGCTGAGTGGATCTTTGCAAAGCAGATGACAGCTTCCGGGGCCGTGGGACAGGCTGAGCAGACAAGTGCTAATATCTCGGGGGAGAGCTGCTGGGAGGTGGTCCACCACCCCTTTGATCACAGTGCAGTGGAACCTCCATGTCAGAGCCCCTAGAGTGAGCTCCTGTGTCTTCTCATGGGTTGCTCTGTCTGGTTAATCACCCTGCCATGAACTCTTTGGAAAATTGAAAAAATTGGGAAAACTGAACTTTTAAGATACTCCTCCTCTTGCCTTTTCTCTTGAGAATCCTAACTTGCACATAGATAGGAACGTAGGCCTTGTTGATGGGAACTTCTCAGTGCTATCAGCTGGATACTAAATTCTTGTTTGCTTCCTCGCCCTCCTAGGGCTCAGTCTGAGATCCCAGAGACTGCAGAAGGAGGTCCCAAGGCTGTGGAGTCACCCTTGGGGTGACCTAACTTACCGTGATGAGTTAATGCCCTAAACATTGGTCTCACCTATCCTTTCTTTTAGATTCTTTTTGGCGCTCTTCTGGACCCCAGAGGGGCAGAGAATGGAGAGTGAGGTCAGCACAGGAAGGTCACCAGAGCTGCTTCCTGCTGCCCACCCGGAGCATCACAGAACAGCTGTTCACTTTGCGCAAGACCAGGGTCCAGACACGGCAGACGGCAGCTGGTTCCGAGTGTTGACAACCGAGCCCTCGGCCAGCCTATGTACCCCTACCCATGCCTAGAATGACTTCTTGGTAACAAGGAGTTTTTCTTTTGAGTTTGTAACTTTTGTTCCCTTTCCACTAAGCCATTCAGTAAACCTTACAGACTTGCTCCACTTGTCTTTCGTTTTTTATTTAAGATGGTTTTAAATTGCCCATGTGAGAAAAAGAGCCTTCTCACACCACAGTCCCATGCCCCCAGCCTTCCAGCATGTCATGATCTTGGGTGTGTGTGTACCCAGCATGTTTTCAGATTGACCTGGGGTCTGAGCCATGGTCGGCCACATGGCCTCCAGCACTGCAGTTCACACCGTCGTCTACGCCATCAAGGCTGGGCCTCATGTAACAAGTGTGATGTGAGTAGTGTGGAGATTGGTTACTGCTCATGCTTTTTCAAGACTGCAGTCCAGAGAATAAATTACTGAGACAGCAAAGATAATGGAGCTACAGCTCTAAAGTAGACTGGTCTTGGATTCAGTTATGTACTGTATTAATCCGGTATGTAGGTGTGAAATGTTAGTGAATTTCCTAATAAAGTATGCTCACACCCACAGTGTAAACCCTTTTTGTTCTTGGTGGATGATTCTTTCAGACCAGGGGTTGGCAAATTATGACTGGCCACATTTGCCCTGGTACTAGTGTTTGTATATAAAGGTTTTTGTTTTTGTTTTAGAGAGGTTTTTGCTATAGGGCGCGTGTACTCGCCAGAGAGACAGAGACAAAGCAAGAAATCACCCCCTAGGGGGGTGGCCATGCCACAATCCCTTCTCCATTCTCCTCTCGGGATCTTGGGCACGCACGCACATGCGCCCGGCATGAGTTTAAGTCACCGGGTCCAGGACTCGAACCGTAGTCAACTACATGGGAGTCCAGCGACATAGCCATTATGCTAACTGCTGCTGGTCCTTGTACATAAAGTTTTATTGGAACAGAGCTGCCCTCAGTTACTGTCTGGCTATTTCCAACTACAGTAACAGAGTTGAGTAGTTGTGACAGGTGTAAGCCTAAAATAGTAACTATCTGGCCCCTTACAGAAAAATTTGCTCAGTCCCTTTTTTTTTTTTTTTTAAGGGGTTTTTGCTTTAGGGCATGTGTGCTGCCAGAGGGGGAGAGACAAAAGACTGAGGGGAATCACGCCCGGGGGAATAGCCAGGCCACAATCCCTTCATTCCCCCAGGATCTTGGGCGCGTGCGCGCTCACGTTCCTGGCGTGAGTTTCAAGCCATTAGGTCCAGGACTTGAACTATGGTTGGCCATGTGGGAGTCGGAACTGCTATAACCATCTCCTGGCCCTCAGCCCCTGTTTTTTACTGTAAGCTTGATGAAGGCAGAGATCATACTTTTTTTTTTCTTCATTTATTTTTTGGGACCACATACTTTCAGACTCTGACTTTAGCATCAAGCCGAGACAGACGCTAATAAAGGAAAATCATTTTAAAAATCAAAATCTAGGTTTACTAAACAAATCTTTTGGGTTGTTGGAAAAGTCACGTTTCTCTACACAAAAATGCATCCTGACTTTTCCAACACCCCCATGTAACCCATGCAGAGACTGGGTGGCCTTTTGGCTGGCTTCATCTCAAGAAATGCTACGTAACAATAGGAGAATGAGGTTTTGAGCCCACTTCTGATTATTGGCCTCCTTACCATGACATCAAATGACATGAACATTAAGGTCTATGAACTTAAATGTTGAGCAGGATGTCTGGGGCTACATGTCCCCAGCCATTGGTCGTGGTTTTTTCTTTACGGAAGTTATTCTAGTGCCAGACTAGGAAGTGCCCAGGCTGAGCTCCCCAGAGTAAGGCTGAGGACAGCTACAGAGAACACAGAGATGTGGGAGGAGGAGAATAGGGAGAAGGGTGGGGAAGGTGTCCTATGGACAGGTATGGCTTCAGATGTCATAGGTTCCTTGGTGGCTAGTGTCCAGGCAGAGGGGGTCATGAGAGGAGGCCATTCTGGTGCAGGGTTTAGACCTTTGTACATTTGGGCAGGTCCACTCCAACCATGGTTCCTTCTCAGTCTTCGGCCCAATCAATATTGGCACCTAAGAGCAGGAAGTTCTAGAGGGCAAAAAGGACAAAATTTGCTGAGCCACATAGGAGCTTCCCACTAGGGACACCTCGACACAGGCCAGTTCTCACTGGAAGCACAACTAAGAGCAGAAGCCAAGCCCTTGGGCCTCGGAGTCCTTTAGAACACACTTCCTTGCAGCTGCTTGTCCCCAGGAGTTTGCATTTCCTGAACCACTGGGAGATACGGGGATATGCCGCTTGCCTCCAGAAATTTTTCTCTCAAGGGAACAAGGCACATCTGGGTGCTACATTTACTCCTCGCTCGGTTCATCTATGAGGACGTTCAGGGTTAAACAGGAGTAAACAGGCTATGAACAGTGAAGACATTAGCAAGCTAGTACCTCTGGATTTATAAATACTCTGATCCTTTCTGCTTCTGCACTTGCTAACTTTCTTCTACCTAGTGGGCATGATCGTTTTTCCAAGACCATCTCTTGCCCCTGTGGGTGGGAGGATCTTCACACCACCTTGTTCACCAATGGCCTTTCATCGACCCAGAAGTGATGCATCTAACCTGATCTTTGGCACTCTACTGCTACGTGTGCTAAAGTGCCTTGTCCATTATAGATGCTCAAGAAATGTGCTTGAATCGCATTGTTGGAACTGAACTATTCATGAAACCAAGATCCAGATGATTGACACTTGCCCGCTATATTACAAAAATAAAATACCTAGTTATTTGGTATAACTATGCCCAGGATGTAAGTGAACATTGGGGGTTCTCTACTCCCTGAAGTGGCCCTCACAGTAGGTCTTAGAGCTCCCTCCCTACCCAGACCCCACTTCTCACTGACCTTGTGAATCTGGAGCTCCAAGCTATTGAGGTAAGTGTTCCTTGGGAGAGGGAGCAGGAAGCCCTCCTCAAGCTTTGCTGGAGATAAACAGAGAAGTTTCTCAATCTTCGGCCTAATCAATGTTGGCTCCTAAGAGCAGGACAGAGGACTGGGAAGTGTGTGGACAGCATGGCATCTGTAACTGGCTGTTGGGTTTGGGATTGGTTTTGCAGAGTAAAGGGGGACTCTGAGGCAAAGTCCTGGATAATGCAGCTTCTTTAGGAGTAGCCCAATGTGGACAGCTTCTTGGGCCCATTTGAGATCCTTCCCTCACTCCCAACCCAAGGTGGCCAGGGCTGCAGCATGTGGTGTTTTATCCAGGGACTTATCCCTGAGAACCACCATCTTCCTCACTTGGTCTTTTCCAGGCTAATGGTCTGGGAGAATATAGGTGGTGAGGACAGCAGGGAAGGGAGGAGGCTTGCCATTTCTCAGGTAGCCACAGTTCCAAGTACAAACTCCATCAGGGTCACCCAGCAAGGTCACCTAGGCTGGCCTAGAACCCAGAGGTGCTATGTCCAGGTGTACCGCATGGTGCTGCCTGGTGCTGGCCTAACTCCTTATCTTGCAAGACTCACCCAGAAGCCCTGCCTGACCTCTACGTCCACGTTTAGCACATCCTTCCAGCTCCTACAAGCCCTTTGCTTTTCCTTCTGTTTTCGTTTACAAGCCAGAGTGCATGAGTGCTCACCAGAGAGACAGAGACAGAGAGGGAGAGAGAAAACAACCCCATGAGGGCATGGTCATGCCGCAATCCCTTATCCTCCATCTCTCCATCCTTTTAAGATTTGGGACACACACATGCACGTGCCTGGCATATTTTTTAACCTGCTAGGCCTGGGATTTGAACCATGTTACTGGGTATGTGGGATCTAGCTCCCTTCACTACTAGGCTGACCTACTTTGTACTTCATTCTATCATGGCATTTATCACACCATGTTCTCATGGCCTGTTACATGTCTAACTTCTCAAAAAAGTAAACCCCAAGAGGTGAGAAGCATAGATTACCATGGCACGAGTGGCACAGAAAGGAAGCTCAGCTTGCTGAATGAGCGAATAAATGAACGAACCATGAGCCACAGATAGAGGAGGATTCTGTCTCCATGGAGCGGTCGGTAGCAGCTATTCTTACCGTTGACAGAGGGGTATACGATGTTGACTGCGTAGTAGTTGAAGATGGCTTCCAGCAACTCCACCTGGGGCAGAGGAAGGGCCGAGGCAGAGGGATCGAATAAGACGTGAACAAAAATGAGTGTCAAAGGGAAGAACGCCTGAGGGTTTCCACCTCTGGAAACCTCCTCATCTCTAAAACACAGATGTTGACTGTGACTGCCGCCATCCCAGATAAACCACTCACAATCCCCAACCCCCAAATCTCCGAGCTCTGGTCCCCGTTAGTGTTGCAAGGTCATTTTATGGCACTACTGTCAAAAGGCGATTGGTGTTTGTTTATTCCATTTCATGTGAATTATTTTTTAAAATTTGCCAGAGGGTGCGCGCACTTGCTAGAAAGAGAGAGAGCAAGAGAAAGCAAGAAAGCACTCACTCTGTGGGCGATGGTCCTGCTGCCAACTCTTTTCTATTTCTGCCTCTTGTTGGGTTGTGGGCATGCGTGTACCTGTACCTGGTGTGTGTTTCTTTCTTTTTTCTTTTTTTAAAGTTTTTGCCTTAGGGCACATACACTCACTGGGAGCATAAGAGAGAGAGAGAGAGATAGTGAGGGAGAAAGCGAGAAATCATCCCCTAGGGGGATGGTCATGCCACAATCCCTTCTCCCCTATTCTCCTCCCCAGATCTTGGGCATGTACACACATGCACCTGGCATGAGTTTCAAGTCACCAGATCTGAGATTCAAACTGCAGTTGGCCATGTGGGAGTCCAGCGACATAGCCACTATACCATCTGCTGGCCTCACCTGGGGTGGTTTTTAAGCTGCTGGGTGGAGAACTCGAACCACACAGTGGGCCATGTAGAAGCCAGCTCACATACCCACCAGGTCATAGGCTGGCCTACAAGAATATTTTTCAATTTTGTTGCAGAAACATTGGTCTGTTTGATTATAAAGAACTTCCCCAGATCCTCCTGGAGGTGTTATATAAAATATGCATGGGGACCAGCAGTTAGCGTAATGACTTGTATCACTGGACTCCCATGTAGTCAACCGTGGTTCGAGTCCTGGACCCGGTGGCTTAAAACTCATGCCGGGCACATGTGCATGCGTGCCCAAGATCCCGAGAGGAGAAAGGAGGAGAAGGGATTGTGGCATGGCCATCCCCCCTGGGGGGTGATTTCTCGCTTTCTGTCTGTCTGTCTGGCAAGCGCATGTGCCCTATAGCAAAAACCTCTCCAAAAAAAAAAAAAAAGCATGCACTATATTATCTCTCAACATTCTCTGTTAACCCCATCCATTCTCCAGGTGTTTGGATAAGGGATTCCGGGCCTGGTCTACTCATTCCAGCATGAACATCTATCAAGAGCTTATGATGTGCAAGGCATTTTGTCAGTCTTGCTTAATTCCCCCCCCCTCACTTCACCATACAACACTCATCTGAGGTAGAAGCTATTACTACTCCCATTTTACAGTTAAAGATACCGAGGCTCAGAAAGGCTGAGTGGCTTCCCCCAGTCACACAGCCGGAAGTGGCAGAGTTGACACCTTCCTCTGAAGCTTATGCCCTTAACGTCCATGTCCTGTTGCCCCTCTGTCCCGTAGAGTGCCCTTTCGTGTAAGTCACTTTCAGATGTGTTTCCCATTCCTGCGAGCCAGCAGCGCGTCGCTCTAAGCCCTTGCAGCACCTCCTGGAACCCTGAAATGCTGTTTGGAGAAGAAATTCGAGAGATGCGGAGAGAAGATAACTCACATTGAAGTGACTGATGTTGGAGTGTTTCAGTTCGAGTTTCAGCTTACTGTGGGGAGAAGGAGAAGCAGTGTCACCAGACCCCAGTTGGCACTTTCTCGCTGTCATCCAGGTGGAGTATGTAGTGCTTGCTGGCAAAGGCATTTTGCCTGGGGACTGGGCACCCAGGGGTTCCTTTGCAACATGTTGCTTATGGGTTGAAGCAAGCACTTGAAGCAAGCACTGTGATTTAAGAAGTGCTAGTGGCACAGTGGCAGAGCATAGGGTACCATGTGGGAAGACCCAGGTTTGCATCCTGGGTTGACCTGAATACACCAAGGATGCCCATGGGTGTGCCCATCATCCTGGCTGGCTGGAAGGCTGGGGGGCAGGGGAGGATGGCAGCATGGTGAGACATTACTGAGGGTACCCACCTCTCTCTCTCATAAAAAATGAAACTTTTTTTTTTTTTAAAAAACGTCATTGCGGGGCCAGGAGGTAATGTGGTGGTTAAAGGCAGTGGACTCCCACATGGCCGACCATGGTTCAAGTCCCAGACATGGTGGCTCGCCTTCTCACTTTCTCTCTCTCTTACTCTGTCCCTCTCTGGTCAAATTAAAATAAATAATAAATAAAGTTAAATAAAATAATTCTTTTAGAAAAAAACATCATTGCTAAAAATATTTGCCGAGCATTTCAATAGCTCAAAGAAACTCTGGGCCCCTGGATTAGAAGGTGACCCCGCCCTGGTGGAGGTCTCTGTTTCCAAGTGTCATTCTTAGCCTTGTCAGTGACCTGGACTAGAGGCTCTCGTTGCTGTCTGGGTATCCTGTCCCACCCTCATGCCTCCCCTACACATGGCCACTTACCTTCCCGTGGTCAGTGAGCCGACAATCCTGCTGGAGTTCACATTGATGGTGACAGAGATGCGCGTTTTCTAGAAAAGCAAAAGGAGATGACTCAGAGACCTCAGCCCACTCAGACATCCCTTGACTTAGACAAGTCTCTGAAAACCTGAGACATCCCCTTCAGTAGACAAGTCTCTGAAAACCTGAGTACAGGTGAAGAGTGACTCCCCAAGGATTATGGGAAGACACAGGAAGCGGGTGGCTCCACAGCTGACACCCACTATGGTGAGCCAAGGGGTCAGAGTTCTCCATTCTAATGGGAGCATCCAGAAAGGGGAAAAACCCGAACTGAAAACATGAAGCCTCTGAATAAGGCTGCCTGCCACCCTGCCTGTAAGAGCGACAGGGTTTTGGAGCAGACTGCCAAGGGTCACGTGGAGAGTCCCTGAGCCCTGGGGCGATTTAAAGACACCAGTAACTGGCACCTATCTTGGAGGGCGAGGACTGATGGGGTCGTGGAACCTGGTGATTGAAGGAGCCTGGGTCCCTAAATGACTATCTGATTGGCGTTCATGTGAGTAAGAAATGTCTGTTGGTTAGACCACTCAATTATGGAGGTGATCTACGATAGCAGTTAGCCTAGCCTATGTACAGAGACCTGATTATGACTAGGTATTTTAAGTTCTTTTCTTTATCTCAAAAATGACCGTTTTGAGATACAAATCACACACCATGTAATTCACCTGCTTAAAGTGTGCAATTTCGCTGTTTTTAGTATATTTACAGACTTGTATAATCATCGCCACAGTTAGTTTTGGAATATTTTATCTCACCAAGAACGGAGATGAAGAGTAAGAGAAAAAATACCTCTCCGTGGGGCATAGCCATGCCACAAATCTTGCTCCTGCATTTCAGATTTCCCATCAGGTTGCCTGTGCACATGCACGCATGCTCCACATGCTTTTCAAGCTGCTGGGGCCAGGGCTGGAACTGCAGCCAGCCCAGGGGGATTGGGCTCCGTACACGCAGCACCCAACTGTGCTACGTGTTGCCCTATTTCAGGCTCCTGAGTCCAACGATCTGTGCTTATCTCTAATTACCAGAGCCTCATAGTACGTTATAGTAAGTTTTGAAATAGGGAAGTGTGAGTCCTCTGACTTTATTTTGCCTTTTCAAGATTGTTTTGTCTACTCTGGGTCCTTTGAATTTTGATATGAATTTTAGGGTCCACTGATCAGCTTGGCAAAAGGTCAGTTGGTTTTTGATAGAGATCATGTTGAACTTATAAATCAGTTTGGAGTGTTTTGCCAAATACTTACATCTTTATACCTTCTTTAAGCCTTTTTTTTTTTTTTGGAGAGGTTTTTTTTTTTTTTGCTATAGGGTGTATGCGCTCGCCAGACAGACAGAGAGAGACATAGACACAGAAAGTGAGAAATCACCCCCCAGAGGGGATGGTCACGCTGCAATCCCTTCTCCTCCATTCTCCTCTCAGGATCTTGGGCACGTACACACACGCGCCCAGCGTGAGTTTTAAGCCACCAGGTCCGGGACGCGAACCGCGGTCGACTACGTGCGAGTCCAGTGACATAGCCATTATGCTAACTGCTGGTTCCCTTTAAGCCTTCTTTTAAAAGGTAATTTGATCATTTTTATTTATACTTAAATAAGGTTATGGACCAGCCAGTGACCTGGTGGTTCCCACATGGCCAAACATATGGTTCAATTCCAGACTTAGCAGCTTGAGAAACTCACTGGGTATGTGTGCTCAAAATCCAAAAAGGAGGGAGGGATGGAGAAGAGATTGTGCTGTGGCCATCCCCCCAGGGGGTAATTTCTCACTTTCCCTCTCACTGTCTTTCTCTCTCTCTCTGGTGAGCACACACACCCTAAGGCAAAAAAACTCTCAAAAATTTTTTAAATAGTAAATAACAGTGAGAAATTTCAGATCTTCAACTCAGCTGGAGTGAATGGCTATTAAAGTATCTTGAAACTTCGACAGCATATGTTTGGGTGAATAGGAAGGCAGGGCCCACTGAAACTGCTGGCAGGAACAGTCTCCGCATCTCAGCTCTGCCTCAGCTGAGGGAGGGGCTTACACACCTGGCGCCCACTTGGGGTTAGACTTACCGCCCTGAGCTGGAAGAGGAGCTGGCGGTCGGAGGAGTTGGGCAGGAGAGCGAAGACCTGGATATCCATCACTGGAGTGAGGGTCACATTTCCAGGGGTGAACATCAGGAGTGGTTCTGATTCAGGTGATGCCTCGATCTCTAGCTCCATGTTGGGGTACAACCTGGTCAGCTGGAGAGAGGAGGACACTCAGGGGAGGGCAGGAGACAAACAGGGAGGGCCTGCGCTGTGTTGGGGAAGACCAGTTGGGTCCCCAAGTTCACATCTCTGAGGGCCTAAACCAGCAGGAGAAATATCACAGGGTAGGGGAAACTATATTTCCAGCACTCCTTTTCAGGAAATGGCTGTCATGGTTAGAAGGGGCCCTGATAAAGTGTGGTAAAGTCTGGGCTGGGCAAGACACCCCAAAGGGTGTGTTCAAATAACAGTGAGCAGCCACCATCCTGCCTCCCAGGATGGCCATCTTGTGTTGCCTGGTGTGCACATCTGGGGCTGGAGCTGAATTGCCTGGGTCAAGAGAGGGGACTGAGTACTGTCCGCTCTGCCCCTGCCACTTTCAGCTAGGCCCCTAAAAAACATCAGGCGAATATCATGTGCCCCAAATGATTCCCCTGCCCCAGGTGCCCCTGACTGTGCCCCAGAAGGACCTGGTACATTTGTGCTGCTTGAGGACTCTTATCTCCCATTGGATCTTCCGGGAAACCCGGGGGCAGATGCTATTGTCATCCTATGTGACAGATGAGGAAACTGAGGGTCCACAAAGTTAAGTTCCAAATCTAGAAAAGAGCAGACCTAGGATTCAAATGCAGGCGGTTCAAATCCTGCATCTCTGTGCCACAAGAAAAGCATAGAATGACAGGAATTTTGTACAAAAATCTAGCTGAGTAACAGCTTTTTACCCAGTGTTCTGAGAGGTACGCCTCTAGGTATTGATTTTCTTTTTAGAATTATTTCTTTAATTCCACTTGTTATTATGATTATTTTTTAATTTTATCAGAGAGAGAGACAGAGAGAGAGAAAGGGAAAGTAAGAAAGCAAGCCGCCAGGGCCTGGACTCCAACTGCGTTCGACCATGGTCGGCCATGTGGAAATCCAGTGCCTGTAACCACCACACCACCTGCTGGCCCCTGTAGGTATTTATCTTGTCTGGTTTCTGATGAGAGTGGGCAGAGCCTACCTGAGGAATCACCGCCTGGAACCAACTGGTGTGCAAATAGATTGGAGAGTCCAGGGGAAGCTGCAGCAGGTGAAGCAGGAAGTTGCTTGAGAAGCAGGACAGCAGAGTGGTGAGTGGTACAGACGTGGAGGTCACACAGCTCGGGTTCCAGTTCTCTTTCCACTGCTTTTTAACTGACTTATTGTTATTAACCATCTTTGTTAGTGTCTTCACCTGTAAAATGGAGAAAATAATAGCACTTACCCTATAGGTTGTATGAGAATGAAAATGGGGTAGTATGTGGGTAAAAGTGCTGAGGGCAGTGCTCGGCACATAGTAAGTGCCCAATAAATGTTGGTCATTGCTGAGCTAGCTCTATGGCCTAGCAGTGGGAAAGCCGGATCTCACCTGGCCCATGTGGTTCGAATCCTGCCCCCTGCAACTTGGAAAACACTCTGGATGCATGTGCGTGCATCCTAAAATCCTGAGGGGATGGAGAGATAGAGGAGGAGGGATTGCAGCATGACTATGTCCCATCGAGGGTTGCTTTCCCCTCTCTTCCTCTCTCTCTGTCTCTCATTGGTGAGCAGAGGTGCCCTCTAGTTATTGCTATTATTATTTATGATCTCTCTCTCAGGGTCTGCTAAAGCTGGTGACCTCCATAATCTGGCGTTTGCCGTGCTTCTCCATCTGGCATTCCCCAAGCTCCTTTTCTGGTCATCTGTCATGGCGCCCATTCTCTGCACTCCTAGGACTTGCCGTTCTGTCAGTTTGGCAAACCCTGCCTGTGCCTGTCCATGGCCCGCCTTCTTTGTTCTCTCCTTCCTCGATTTCCTTTTCTAACCTGGGTGTCTCCTATAGTACTTCTGCTGCGGCTATGGAGGCTGCTCAGGCCTCCCATCAAAGAGGGCAGGTGGCTGGCAGCTCCTGCCTCCCTCACGTTCAGATCCCCACCACTGACAGTGAGGCCACACACTCCCCGCTCCTGACTTAGCACGGCAGGGCAGGTGGAACTGGGTGACTTCGTCAGAGCCTGCCAGGTGCCTAGGTGGTCAGGTAAGACCGTGGCCAAACTGAAAGCGCCTTCTACGCCTTTGTTCGCTTACTAGTATAGTCCCAGCAAGAGGCCAAAGATGAAGAGGTGTTGGCTCCCCAGTGCTGCCCTGTCCCCTACAGAATGCCCCCAGGTGAGGGAATCATCTCGTTGCCATGGGAGCCCCAAGC